ATAGGCCCAAATCTGCATACACAAATCATTCCCCATGTAATTAAGAGGCTTAGTAGATGGTGCAAAATATCCCCAGTGAGAAGCATATGTGCAGTGAGTATGCTAAGGGAAAACTCAGTAAATGGGTAGGGACCAAGACTTTTCAACATCCTTCATACATAAGGGGGATTTAAAACAGACCTCTGGCTGTCTTCAAGAAAGTACTGGCTGATTGGTTGAATCCTTGATCACCCAGGCATTAGTGCTTAAGTTGGACTTGGTGTAGCTAGCTCCAACAGCCTTGATGATCGAGCCATCCACCAGCAAGCCTGGCCTGGGACCAGGCTGCTAGGGTGTTGACCCACAGAACAAACTCCAGGTTGATTCCTGGTAGGTAGATATCTCTGTTAATATCATTAGGTAGTTACATGCACAGAAAATAGTGTTCAAATACCTTATGGCCTTAAATTTAGATGCTGTGTATATCTCTTATATTACCTGTCTTTGAAGCTATATAGCTCATTCTAAAAATCTTTGAATAGATGTTGGAAAACCAAATTGCTTTATGAAGAAAGATGAGCTTTAGTCAGCTTGGCTTTAGAGCAAGATCTTGACAAAATTACAAAAGCCTTGGAAAAAAAAAAAAGCTAATGTAATTCACATGGATTCTGCAAAGGCATTTAATAAGTGTGACCATGGCAAAATGACAAAATGAGGTCAATACATGTAACAGGAAAAGTAGGAACTTGGAGTTTAAAACTTTTAACAAACCTATCATGAAGAGTGGTAGTAAAAATAAGACATTGAGTCTTGGCAAGTTTAGTACCCCAAGGTGTAATCCTAATGTCATTACTATTTCTCATCCTTATAACACATAGATTAACCCCTTTGAGGGTTGAGACCTGTGATCCTGAACTTGTTCTCAGGGTCAAAAAATTAAAAAAAATAAAAAACAATTCTCATGAAATGACAGAGAATCTTTTCCCGATGGTACTGACACCAAAAGTATGAAATTTGATGGAAAACTTATGAAGTTATGCTCATGTGAAATTAGCGATATCGGCGATATTTACGCATCGGCGACTTTGCCCACTTTGAGCTTTATTTTCAGTGAATTCCATTGTTCCAACCAACTAAAATCATAGCTATTTTGCTAGAACTACATTTATTCTATCAACTGAATACAAGAAACCACCCATTTACAGATTTTAACTACCTAATAAAATGGTCAGAAATTGGCAATTTGGCCATTTCACACAAATTTCAAAAGATACCAATTTCAAAATAGTCCAGAATAAACAAGGCAGACATTCCTGGTACTAAAATAACATTTTCTCTGTTCATTAGTCATGTCTCCAGGCCCCACTTATATTACCCTTGCTTTCAGTTTTTAATTTTTATTCTCGCAAAAAATAGAGCACGTGTATTTACTGTTATGCAAACTACTGCATTATTATAATTGTATAAATAATGTCAACTCATTCATGACTACGTATTAGACTGGCTGGTTGGACACGTATTGGACAGTGACGTAATTTGTTTACTCTTGAACATACGCAAAAAATGAACATTTCCGCTACTTTGAACTCAATTTCAAGGTACTTTTCATCTTGAAATCAATCAAAATTACCTCCATTTCTGTAATGTATCTTCCATTCTATCAAATGAGACCAAGAAAACCAAGAATACAACCATAAATACCATACAAAAATACACAGCAGAGTCGCTGTTTTATACCAAAAACATGGTCGGAGTTTTTTTTTCTCATGCACTGCGTGCTGCAGGATTTTTTTTTTATGCTGCACACACTGACCACACAGACCTATTCTTTCATATGTAGACCTACCAGCTTTCTTCCACCAGATTTGAAGGAACTAGAATTTTGGCGTAGTACTACGGGACCAACACTGGCTCTCAAGCCATAGTACATACTCCGGGACCAACACTGGAAGGGTTAAGTGTGGTATGCATGAAAGTCATATCAGTAGACACAAAAATTATAAATGGATTATAAAGACTGCCATTGAACAAATGAAAATAGCATGATATTTAGTGGTAGAAAAATTTGACAGCTTAGGTATAAGAATAAAAAGTTCATGTCCTTTAGTCTTACCAGAATAAACACAGTATACATAATTCAGGTATGCCATATCATATAATGTAAAAAAAAAATGGGTGAAATTCAGAGCATCTTTCATTAGAACAACAATGATGAATCAAACACATGCAACATCTGAATATCTTTATTTAATAGACATTTCACCAACTAGTAGCTTTATCAGTACAATACAGAGACTTGGAAGAGTATAGAAAGGCAGTAATCAGTCCTTAGCTTTGCAGAATACAGAAGATGGTAGAAGACGAGGTAATCAGTCCATTCAACTTAAAAATTACATTTCTTTGTGTAGTATACCATGTGTAGTTTATATGTAGTAAAATATTGTTAAGCTCAAAGAAAGCCACTAGCATGCATGCGCCTAGGAGCAGGTGCTGAGTACCATAGTCTTGTTGAATCTGGAGTACAGGCAGGAAGATGGGCACTTATATTCAAGTCAGATGAGGTGCAGCAGATAAAGGCTTTATTAGTGATAGGTAGGACCCACAAGTGGAAGTAGGTCATGTCCAAGAATTGGGCCAAAGGTTAGCAAGTAGGTTGTGGAGATGTCTTCTTTACCAAGATTCCATGATGCTGTTGTCTGACAGATATTCAGTACTGACAATGGTATACAATACTGACAAAATGAGGAATTACACACATGTACTTCATTTGGTTATCTTTATTTTGTAGAAGTTTTGCCAGCTGGTTAACCCTTTGACTGTTTTGATTGTATATATACGTCTTGCGAGCCACCGTTTTTGATGTATATACATTTATACTCAAATTCTAGCAGCTTCAAATTAAGCAGGAGAAAGCTGGTAGGTCCACATGTGAGAGAATGGGTCTGTGTGGTCAGTGTACACCATATAAAAAAAATCCTGCAGCACACAGTGCATAATGAGAAAAAAAAAACCGTTTGTTTTTTATTAAAATGCTGACTTTGTGGTCTATTTTCGTATAGTATTTGTGTTTGTATTCTCTTTTTCTTGGTCTCATTTGATAGAATGGAAAACATATTATAGAAATAGAGGTGATTTTGATTGGTTTTACTATGAAAAGAACCTTGAAATGGAGCTCAAGGTAGGGAAAATGTTTTATTTTTGCCGATGTTCAAAAGTAAACAAATGATGTCATTTTCCAATAAATGTCCAAGTAGCCATACTAATATGCAGTCATGAATGGGTTGACATTATATATACAATTATTACAATATTGTAGTAGTCTGCATAACAGTAAATCTTCTATTTTTTGTTTGAATAAAAATTTAAAATAGAAAGCAAGAGTAATATCAGAGGGGCCTGGAGACATGACTGATGAACAAAGAAAATGTTATTTTAGAGCCAGGAATGTCTGCATTGTTCATTCTGGACCCTATTTTGAAATTGTCATATTTTTTAATTTTTGTGAAATTGTCCAAATTGCAGAATTCTGACCATGTTATTGGGTAGTTGAAATCTGTAAATGGGCAGTTTTTTGTACTCAATCGATAGAAAAAGTGCAGTTCTAAAGAAATAGCTGTGAGTTTAGTTGACTGGAACAATGGAATTAGCCGAAAATAGGGCTCAAAGTGGGTGAAATCGCCGATTCGTAAATATTGCCGAGGTTGCTAACTTCGTGATAGCGTAATTCTGTCAGTTTTCCATAAAATTTTGTTCTTTTGGTGTTATTACCATCGGGAAAAGATTCGTTTCACAAGTTTTTTTTTTTTTTGTGACACCAGGAGACACCTCAGGATTTGGGGTTGCGACAGTCAAGGGGTTCACCATCCCAGTTGAACAAGATTGTCTGTATGTATAATGAATATGACGCAAAGCATTACTTTGCTACAGAAAAGGAAATGGTTAATAAAAAAAATATCCAATCCATTTGCAAGAAAGATAATACTGTATTAGAAAGAGGACAATAGTTTATAATGTTTTTTAATCAAGGGAAGACTTCCTGAGGAGCAGGTAAGCAAAATCCCCCTTCATTTACTGTGGAAAACATTCACTTCGAAAACCGTGATTGATAAACGCATTATAAAAGGAACATCATTTTCAAGTTCAGGTAAGATCTTAAAGCATTTATAGAGCTAATAATGCACAATGTCTTTAATTAAGAGTCCATGATATATCCCAGAACACCCTTCTTGCCAACTGGAACAAACTGAGAATGGGTAATCTGTGATACATCATGAGTCTGAGAACTCAGCACCCCTCTCAAGTTGGATCCAAGTCCAAGCAAATGCTCTCTTAATTTTTGATCAGAATAGTCAAAGAAAACTGAAGCCAGTTAAAAAGTAGAATCAGAGGTTGGCAAAGCAGGTTATGATACAAAACCAAGCAGGTCATTCAGATGGGTGGACAGAAGTGTCTGATTTCCATGACAAACTTAAAAAAAAAAATACCAGTATTCCTCATTACAAGCCGATACCCTGTTTTTGACTATATGAGTTTGTGTAATTGGACCATAATCCAGGAGTCTACACCATTGTTATCCAAATTCATATAAGACCTATGTAGTAGTTGGGCAACAGAGGACTCGTGCGAAAGTGCAAAGTCATGAATCAAGAGCTTTTAGTGATAAAAAAACAGAACTTGTACTCAGCTGGATTCACCTCTTCATGAATCTCTGCTAACTGGTCAACAGACAGTGCAGATGCATCCACCTTGCCCAAGGCCTCTGTCACTCCAACCTGGTTCAGATCAAGGTTTCTATTGTTATGGAAGGATAGTATATACTCACAAGAATTCAGCATCAGAATATCGATATTAAAAGTAATGACAGAATGAGAAGCCCCATTTATGTGTTTGCTTGAAGATTCACTGAGTTGCAAGCTGGTTTTGACAGTTAAGACTCTTGTTTAGGTAGTTTAAGGATTTTGATATGTGAAAAACTTGTCCATGACTGCACAAAGGGTATGTACATTTAAAAAATAATGCAGTTGCAGACCTCAGAAAAGATGGTATTGACTCGGCTCTCGCACTTTGGTGAGGTATGCCCATTGAGCGACCACAGTTACAGTGACCCAGCAGCCCTGCCCAACCCTTCACATCATGCTTCTAACAGCAAACGCTTTCCTGTGAGTACTTGCCTTTTAATCCTTCAGTCTTCTCCCATTATACAAGTTGTATATAACTAATGAATGTAGAATGGTTCAGGAAATATCTTTCATTATCTTGTACATAATTTTAATTTCTTGTGGATTGCCACTGCTGTTGTCCTCTAGAGATGATCTTAAATAATTGCCATACTCTCTATATTTTTAAACTTCTAGCTACATATATATAGAAATTATCAGTGGTTTCTGACTTTTGGAAACAAACTACATTTAATAGCATAGATTATGAGAAATAAGTTTTATTAAAGGCTGAGGATATGACTACATAAAACTTTATGTTGGTAGATTTAAATTTTCCCAGTGTTATGTATGAAGCACAATACTGTCCCAGTATTGTGCTTCATACATAACAATGAATTAAAGAAAATAGAAAATACTTAACAATATTTTTCATAAAATTAATGATAAATTTTTTTTTTTTCTGGATAGATGATGATTCTCTACTATTGTATTTGGCATTTTCTAAACTTCTGATACCTTGAAGTATGCACTATTCAAAACATAAGTGCTTACTGTGTGGTAGACTTAACCATGTGCAAATGACTCAATGCTCATTACATCAAGGTATCATAGACTTGACATTGGTTGTTTTATATTAAATCTGGCGTTTGATTTTTCCTGTGACTCATCTATGGTTTTTCAGGTAAATGTTGGGGCAAAATCCTCTCCGTCATCAGCAACATCAGCATCATCACTGACAAGCCCATCATTTTCTCAATCAGCTTCCACAGTGGCATCACCATTGCTCTCTGTCACTATCTCACAGGCATTGTCACCATCTTCACTATCAACATCGACAACTGTTTCATCTACAGATTCACAAAATCATGAAGTTATAAGAATGCACATCCTTCACCTCCCAAATGAAATTTTTGAAAAGATATTCTCATACCTCTCCTTCAAGAATATTGGAGAAATAAGACGGGTAAGCTTGAATCTCGGGTTATTATTATTTTTTATTAACACACTGGCCGATTCCCACCAAGGCAGGGTGGCCCGAAAAAGAAAAACTTTCACCATCATTCACTCCATCGCTGTCTTGCCAGAAGGGTGCTTTATACTACAGTTTTTAAACTGCAACATTAACACCCCTCCTTCAGAGTGCAGGCACTGTACTTCCTATCTCCAGGACTCAAGTCCGGCCTGCCGGTTTCCCTGAATCCCTTCCTAAATGTTACTTTGCTCACACTCCAACAGCACGTCAAGTATTAAAAACCATTTGTCTCCATTCACTCCTATCAAACACGCTCATGCATGCCCGCTGGAAGTCCAAGCCCCTCTCACACAAAACCTCCTTTATCCCCTCCCTCCAACCTTTCCTAGGCCGACCCCTACCCCGGTTTCCTTCCACTACAGACTGATACACTCTTGAAGTCATTCTGTTTTGCTCCGTTCTCTCTACATGTCTGAACCACCTCAACGACCCTTCCTCAGCCCTCTGGACAACAGTTTTGGCAATCCCGCACCTTCTCCTAATTTCCAAACTACGAATTCTCTGCATTATATTCACACCACACATTGCCCTCAGACATGACATCTCCACTGCCTCCAGCCTTCTCCTTGCTGCAACATTCATCACCCATGCTTCACATCCATATAAGAGCGTTGGTAAAACAATACTCTCATACATTCCCCTTGCCTCCAAGGACGAAGTTCTCTGTCTCCACAGACTCCTAAGTGCACCGCTCGCCCTTTTCCCCTCATCAATTCTATGATTCACCTCATCTTTCATAGACCCATCCGCTGACACGTCCACTCCCAAATATCTGAATACATTCACCTCCTCCATACTCCCTCCAATCTGATATCCAATCTTTCATCACCTAATCTTTTTGTTATCCTCATTCCTGTATTCAATTTTAATTTTCTTTTGCATACCCTACCAAATTCGTCCACCAACCTCTGCAACTTCTCTTCAGAATCTCCCAAGAGCACAGTGTCATCAGTAAAGAGCAACTGTGACAACTCCCACTTTGTGTGATTCTTTATCTTTTAGCTCCATGCCTCTAGCCAAGACCCTCGCATTTACTTCTCTTACAACCCCATCTATAAATATAATCTCCCTCTTTCCTACATACTCTAACTTGAGCCTCACTATCCTAGTAAAAACTCTTCTCTGCTTTCAGTAACCTACCTCCTATACCATACACCTGCAACATCTGCCACATTGCCCCCCTATCCACCCTGTCATATGCCTTTTCCAAATCCATAAATGCCACAAAAACCTCTTTAGCCTCATCTAAATTCTGTTCACTTATATGTTTCTGACTTATCATCTGACTTACAACCTGCTCGACTTACGACCACTCGACTTACGACCGTGTTTTTTATGCCAAATTTCTGGGAATTAAACAACTATTTGTGTTGTACACAGTGTTTATCCTAAACCTTACAGTATAAAATACAGTACTAACAGCATAAAAAGTAAAGTAAAACATGAAATACCAAAATAAAACAAAATAAAGTCATTACAAAAATGTTTTGTTGATATTCAGTAGTAAAGTTCGACTTACGACCATTTCGATTGATGACCGGTTTCTCGGAACCGAACTCGGTCGTAAGTCGGATGGTAGGTGTACCTGGTCCACACACCCTCTACCTTTCCTAAAGCCTCCTTGTTCTTCTGCTATCCTATTCTCCGTCTTATTCTTAATTGTTCAATAATAACTGTACCATACACTTTACCAGGTATACTCATCAGACTTATCACCCTATAATTTTTGCACACACTTTTGTCCCCTTTGCCTTTATACAAAGGAACTATGCATGCTCTCTGCCAATCCCTAGGTACCTTACCCTCTTCCATACATTTATTAAATAATAGCACCAACCACTCCAAAACTATATCCCCACCTGCTTTTAACATTTCTATCTTTATCCCATCAATCCCAGCTGCCTTGCCCCCTTTCATTTTACCTACTGCCTCACGAACTTCCCCCACACTCACAACTGGCTCTTCCTCACTCCTACAAGATGTTATTCCTCCTTGCCCTATACATGAAATCACACCTTCCCTATCTTCATCAACATTTAACAATTCCTCAAAATATTCCCTCCATCTTCCCAATACCTCTAACTCTCCATTTAATAACTCTCCTCTCCTATTTTTAACTGACAAATCCATTTGTTCTCTAGGCTTCCTTAACTTGTTAATCTCACTCCAAAACTTTTTCTTATTTTCAACAAAATTTGTTGATAACATCTCACCCACTCTCTCATTTGCTCTCTTTTTACATTGCTTCACCACTCTCTTAACCTCTCTCTTTTTCTCCATATATTCTTCTCTACTTGCATCACTTCTACTTCGTAAAAACTTCTCATGTGCTAACTTTTTCTCCCTTACTTCTTAATTCCTTAAGTTTTCCATTAAATTTCCTGCTTTTGGTGTCATTATGATCGGGAAAAGGTTCTCTATCATTTCATAAGGAATTTTTTTTTTCCTGAAAAATTTTCGACCCTGAGAACAAGTTTAGGAGAGGGCCTCTTGACCCAGAAAGGGTTAAGAAGGCTGAGGAAGGGTTGTTAAGGTGGTTTGGGCATATAGAAAGGATGGTGCAGAATAGAAATAAGGGGTAAGGGTATTCCCAGGGGGGGTTGGAAGGAGGGGTGAAAGATGCTTTAGTGTTAGGAGCTTGAACATCCATCAGGCTTGTGTGAGTGCATTAGATTGGAGAGAGTGGAGACAAGTGATTTTTATCACTTGTCAGGAAGGCAACATTTATGAAGGAATTTGGAGAAACTGGTTAGCTGGATTTGAGTCCTGTAGGTGTGAAGTGCAGACCTACACTTTCGAAGAAGGTTGTGGGAATGTTGCAGTTCAGATGGTCATTTGAACCATGATGCCAGCACACTCATGGCAAGACAGCGATTGAATGAACAGCAGTAATATACATTTCTCTACACACAAAAAGAAGGATGCTAAATGAAGTGTACTAAATGAAGAATAAATGGCACTTACCTTTACTGAAGATGTAATGATGAGTGATGAGACACTATGTCCTGGGAGTGCCTTTTCCTCCTCAGTAATGTAGGTCCTGTTTGGCATTTTCTTCCAGAACAGGCCTTATCACACTGTGTATGCCACTACGATTCTTAAATCTCTCAAACCAATCTTTGCTGGCCTTAAATTCACCAATATGAGCACTAGTTCCAGGCATTTTTTCCTGTTCACCTGGGTGTTAGTCGACTGGTGTGGGTTGCATCCTGGGGCACAAGATTAAGGACCCCAGTGGAAATAAGTTAGACAGTCCTCGATGACACACTGACTTTCTTAGGTTATCCAGGGTGGCTAACCCTCTGTGGTTAATTGGTTCTCGGTATGCTCGATAAGCCACACCAATAACAGTCTCTCCACGTGTTCGAGTAGTACAGCTGACTGTGGTGCAGCAGCAGCTGACCGTGGTGCAGCAGCAGCTGACCGTGGTAAAGCAGCAGCTGATGGTGCTACAGCACCAGCAGCACCTGACCGTGGTACAGCAGCAGCAGCTGACCGTGGTGCAGCAGCAGCTGATGGTGCTATAGCAGCAGCAGACCATGGTGCAGCAGCAGCTGACCATGGTGCTACAGCAGCAGCAGCAGCAGCAGCTGACCATGATGTTACAGCAGCAGCATCTGACCATGGTTCTGCAGCAGCAGCAGCAGCAGCAGCTGACCATGGTACAGCAGCAGCAGCTGACTATGGTACAGCAGCAGCAGCAGCTGACCATGGTACAGCAGTAGCAGCTGACCATGGTGCAGCAGCAGCAGCAGCAGCTGACCATGGTGCAGCAGCAGCTGACCATGGTACAGCAGCAGCAGCAGCTGACCGTGGTGCAGCAGCAGCTGACCGTGGTACGATAGTATGTATTTCTCACCCTTTTTACCACAGGGTTGGCACTAGAAGCATCTTTGGGCCCATGTGGCTTATTTAGTAGTTACAAGCACTGAAAACACTGGAATAATAAAAAATTTATGGAATGTATGTGTGCAACCGTCCGCCCCGGCTTGTAAACAATGTCACAATAGCTCAGCTGAGGCGCTCAGGCCAGACAGACACGTACGGGACGATTGATGTAAGTTGAGTTTTTCACCGTATGTCGGGGTCAAATATTTACGCTGATAAGCATCGTAAGTCGGTTTTAACATAGGTTGAGGACATGGTAAGTCGGGGGTCCACTGTATATACATATCCCTCTGGGTTTTCTTCTATTATCTTACTAGTTCTTGTTCTTGTTCATTTCTGCTTATCTCCATGGGGAAGTGGAACAATTCTTCCTCCATAAACCATGAGTGTTGTAAGAGGTGACTAAAATGCCAGGAGCAAGGAGCTAGTATCCCCTCGTCCTGTATATATTACCAAATTTAAAAGGAGGAACTTTTGTTTTCCCTTTTGGGCCATCCTGCCTTGGAGGGATACGGCCTGTTTGTTGAAAGAAGAATTGTTTCGGCATCAAGAGTTGGGAGTATTTGTGAGTAGAGGGTGGTGACCAAGAATGGTGATGTTGGCTCCTATAGAGTATATAGCATCAAACTTTCAGAAAATGAAGCTGATAGTATATTTTTGTAACAATTGGGTCAGTTAATGAAGTAACAAACTTTGACATTGATTTTCAGACTTGTAAGAGGTTTGAGCAGATTGGATCGACTCTGCTGAATGCATCTTTCCAGCGCCTTCAGAATCAGATGCTTCAAAGATTCCAGTCCATTAAGGGGCAGATGCCTCGGAGAGAATCTGCACGTCGGAAGCATCCGCTGGCTCGTGAATCGGATATTGTTGAAACCTTACACATGCGTCTAACTCTTCTTCAGATGTCTTTTGGGAAACATATTGAGCGGAAACATTGCTGCTTCTTTGCTGGGGATGTAAGTTAATTCTTTTGTTCTTTCCATGTAAATACTTCTTCATCAATGGTTATACATTTTTAGTTGTTTATGATGTTTGTATTATTTATCTTACAGGGAATTGTATTGATCAAGCTCCAAAAAATAGAGTGGATAGAGTGGAGTTAGGAGGGAAAGATAGCTTAGTGGATTAGCTACAGTGCCTGCTAAAATAATCCAGACCTCCCATTTATTATTACAAAAATCATTAAAAAGCAATATAAACATTATAAAGCAAAAACTGTATCACTTGGTAAGTAATTACATTAATATTTTGTCTGCCCCTTGGCCTTGATCATTTGAAGCTGTTTGGGCATACTTTCACTCAGATTCTTGAAGTTATCAGTGGATAACTGGGTGACCCAAATATCCTTGATCCTGGATCCTCTCAAAGATACATTACTATGCACCACAATGAGCCCTTCTCACACTATAGTATTCACTCATCTATCCCTACCTCACCTATTCTATTTATGCTAGGGATTAACTGCAGCAACACACCTAAAGCCAATAATAACCCAACAAAAAGCCACAGTAAGAATAATCATGCAATCCAATCCCAGGCAACACACCCACCCCACTCTTCATAGATCTAAACTTACTCACTGTACATAACGTCCACACTTACTACTGTGCAACCTACATTTACAGATCCTTAAATTCTAATACAGGTCATCCACAAATCCGGCATCATTGGGGCCTGTAGTGTGCAGGATTACTGAGTTTGCCGGATTACAGAGTGGTTAGGTTAGATTATACTTATTAAAATTAACTAACTTGACTTGCACAAAGTTTATTGAACATCGGCAAAAATTGAACATTTCCGCTACTTTGAGCTCAATTTCAAGGTACAGGTCCGCCATCACAGATCTGGCAATCAGTTATTCGGTTCCTTCAGTTATTCGGCACTAATTTTGGCTGGCATAATTTCAAATTTCCAGGGGTCGCCACACCAACCTGCTGGTACTGTTTGGTTCCAATGAATAAAAGATAAGCTTTTCATTGTGTAAAGCACCTACACAGTACATTGTCCATTAAAGATTAGGTGGCTTTGAAGCCACTGTCGGTTGCTATGAGCTCAGTCTCCTGATGCAGGAGAATATGCTTTATTATTATGCTAATATCAACACTACAGCTTATTGCCTATCACAATTGCTCTAATATGACATAATAAACAATATAAATAACATAAAACATGTTAAATACTCCAGAACGAATAATATTTGGTGTAATACCGAGCAGTTCGACGGAGGTATGAAGAGGATACGAGATACAAGTACCATTCTCCTATCCCTGTCTTGGGGCTTATATTAGAGAAAATGGAGTATAGCACAGGGCTAACTGTGATGTACACTCGTACTGCACCATAAACCTGAAACAAAAAAGCTATTTTCTCTATACAGATTACCACACACAGCATATGTGTAGAGAACCTAGGATAACCCAAAAAAGTCAACATGGCTTATTTCTAGTGCCTGGCTTGGCACTAGTGCTACACTCCGTTTTCTCTAAGATAAGCCCCAAGACAGGGATAGGAGAATGGTATTTGTATCTCGTATCCTCTTCATACCTCCGTCGATCTGCTTGGTATTATGCCAAATATTATTCATTTTGGAGTATTTAACTTGTTTTATGTTATTTATTTATTTTTTTTTTTTCAACAAGTCTGCCGTCTCCCACCGAGGCAGGGTGACCCAAAAAAGAAAGAAAATCCCCAAAAAGAAAATGCTTTCATCATCATTCAACACTTTCACCACACTCACACATTATCATTGTTTTTGCAGAGGTGCTCAGAATACAACAGTTTAGAAGCATATACATATAAAGATACACAACATATCCCCCCAAACTTCCAATATGTTATTTATATTGTTTATTATGTCATATTAGATCAATTGTGATAGGTAATAAGCTGTAGTGTTGATATTAGCATAATAATAAAGCATATTCTCCTGCATCAGGAGACTGAGCTCATAGCAACCGACAGTGGCTTCAAAGCCACCTTATCTTTAATGGACAATGTACTGTGTAGGTGCTTTACACAATGAAAAGCTTATCTTTTATTCATTGGAACCATGGCTAGGGCTAAAAGTAAGCAGGTTATAACAATAAATGGAGAAAAAGAAAATAGAATGACTTGAGCAGCAAGTAGCGCCACCAAACAGTACCAGCAGGTTGGTGTGGCGACCCTGGAAATTTGAAATTATGCTAGCCGAAATTAGTGCCGAATAACTGATGGAACCGGATAACCGATTGCTGGATTTGTGATGGCGGACCTGTATTTACCCTGACCTAAAATACTTTCTTGATAGTTGTGACAGGACCCACAGGCATAAGACCAGGCACAAAAATCTCTATGACATTTCCCCGTGTCCAGCTAAACCTATACAATAATTCAATGTATATAAAAGGACCTAAAATCTGTAACACCTTACCTGAAACTCTAGAACTGCAGACACAATCATCACTTTCAGAACTACTGTTAGAAAACATCTCTCCCTGACATACCCCACTGTCAGCGAACTACTTGAAAATCATCTATTCTCTTGTATCATACACACACAAGAAACAACCTAGATCTCCCCTCGATATCTGTGATTCCCCACAGTTCACACTTACACTCGCCCTGTTGACTGTAAACATTGAAATACGTAATAAAACTATTACCTAATGAATCTAAAACTAGTCATAAGTTTGCCTGTGATACTCCAATTTAGGAGCTTTAATAGAAACTGTGTTGTAACAAAACAAAACCATTCACATTGCTAAATTTACGAACTGTAATGCAATTACTTAGACTTAATATCAACACGCTCCATAAACTGTACCAATATAGAGTATTGAATTAATCCTAGTTTGCCCAAAATGCCATGTTATGCTAGGTGTGATTGGCCCTCTCTGTAATTAGTATTTATAATATGTAAACCACACAATATCCTATAAAATGTAAACCCCGCATTGTAATCTTTATAGAGAATAAACTTGATTGATTGATTCTGCTGCAGGCATGACATGGATGAAATGTTACAGGATTCCATCTTCTTTTCATGATATTCCAGGTATTCTCAATAGCATTAAGGTCTTGATTATTCCCAGGCCACTGTAAAACCTCAGTATTTTTCCTCAGCAAGCCACATAATTAATTTTTTTGGCCATGTGATAGGGCACTATCATGCATGAGGTGGTGTAGCTGTGAATTTCAAAAATATTCAGCAGGTGGTCCTCGAGAATGGTGATGTAGCAGTTGGCATTCATTGTAATGTTTTGGGAAAGGAAGTACAAACCCCTTCTGTTCCACTGACTGAGCACAAGAAGCTACCCATTCAATTATCAAAACTCCCCTATAAAATGTACAGAAGTTGGTAATTTGGCCAATTTTACACAAAATTTAAAAAATCCCATTTTAAAAACAGAGTCCAAAATAAACACTGTAGACATTCCAGGCACTAAAACATTTCCTCTACTCATTAATCACTTACCTACCATTTTGAATTCATCATTACAAAAAACTGAAGATTTACCATTTCTTGGATAATAAAAAGCAGTGGAACCTCAATATTAGTATGTCCCTATATTTGTGCAACTTGATATTCGCCCAACTTTTTTCAGAAAAATTTGACTCGGTATTCAGACATTGCCCTGATATTCGATCTAAACAAAACAATCCATCTGGACAAAGTCCAATGAAAACAAAGCGTCACACACTCAGTCTCTTGTCAGCTTTTGTTCGTTAAGCATTACAGTGGTCCCTCGCTTTTCGTAGTTCTTGGCAATCGTAAATTTCGCCAATCATAGGGGTATTTTCGTATAAACATGGACTCGCTTTTCATAGGTTGACTTGCGAATAGTAGTTCGTCCGGGACGCGTACGCACGGTGTGAGCTGGGGCGGCCTCCCTACCCAGCCAGTCTGGCATTGTTTACCAGTGAGTGAAGGTCCCCTCAAGTGCTCCTAAGAAATATTTCATAATATTCAACTCATTTTAGTGCTTGCAATTACTAAATAAACTACCATGGCTCCAAAGAAAGCTCCTAGTGCCAAGCCTGTGGTAAAGAAGGTGAGAAATATGTACAGTGACAGTCTTGGGCCATTTTAGGGAAGTGTTAAATAGAGACCAGAAACAGAGCTCTCTCCACAGTTACTTTGCGAGACAGGACTAGAGTGACTCTCAAGGTGGTCCTAGTGGCATTAAGAAACAGAAGAGAAGCAACCCCAGAGAAGCAATTGGTACCTGAGGTGTTGCTGAAAGGGGATTCCCCTTCCAAACTGTAAACAATCCAATCTCTCTCCTCCTCCAGTCTCCCATACACTAAGAAGAATCTCCAATAAAGGTAAGTGTTATGCTGTTAATGTTTCATTCATCATTTCCCATTGTATTGTTTATGTACTATATGTATATTTCATGCAAAAATTTCTTTGTTTTAATACTTCTGGGTGTCAGGAATGGATTAATTGTATTTACATTATTTCTTATGGGGAAAATTGATTCGCAAATCATAAATTTCGTTTATAGTAGCTCCTCCAGGAACGGATTAATTACGAAAAACGAGGGACCACTGTATTTGTACAAACTCCTTGTAACCTTTTTGATATTTCATTGTTATTCTGTGGTGTTTTTTAAATACAGTTGTACCTCGGTATACGTTCTTAATCCATTTCAGGACCTTGGTCTTATACCAAACAGGACGTATACCAAACAAATTTTTCCATAAGAAATACTATAGGGAAAATGATTAATCTGTTCCCGTGAAAAAAAAATCCTGTTGTTATTGGTATATTATACATTGATGTGCTTGTATAAAATAATTTTAGCACTGCTTAATACTAAAATATGTAATTTAACCCTTTGAGGGTTTTCGTCGTACTAGTACGTCTTACGCGTAGGGGTTTTTGACGTACTAGTACTCATAAATTCTAGCGACCTCAAATCTAGTGGGAGAAAGCTGGTAGGCCTTCATATGAAAGAATGGGTCTATGTGGTCA